TTACATTCTGTTTGAGCACGTGTGGGAGAGGCACACCAAGGCCATCTACTCCTTTTACCCCGATCCAAACTCGCTCGAGAGCAAGGAAGCGTTGCGGCTTGCGTGGGAAGCACATGTTGCCATGCTCCCGCCCCAAGACCCGCCGCAGCTGGCGGCAACAGACGCGGTGGTGCCTCGCAAGCGGCACTCCAAGTACGACGGATACGTGCCAGTCTACCACCCCACGCCCACGTCCCGGTTCCGCCTGCCCCCAGACATGCCCATGGCCGACCCGCCCCCGTTTGTTGCCCCCGCCCCGCCTCTTCCACGACCGGCCCAGTTGCGAAAGCAACCCAAGCAGCTTCCCTACAAGATGGTTGCGGCGCTGCCGTCTTCGCTCCCAGCCCCTCTCAATCCTCCTCTGCCCCTTCCGTCCATCTTTTGCCTGGCGTGTTTGACGCCATACTCCCACCACCTCGACACCCATCACCCGATTCCTCACCGCTGGCGCGGCGTTGCCATTTCCAAGTTCCTTTGCCCTGTTGGTCACCACGACCATACCCGTCTTGCTGCCGACGATGCCGCCTCACGGTGGCTTCTGTCTGGTATTGCTCCTCCCTTTGCGTAGTCGTCAGCTGACACTGCGCTCAAGGCACGCGGCCGCGTGATTCCAAGGTCGCGTGCACTCTGGTGTATTGGGTTGGGGCCTTTCCTTGCAATGCCCAACAACATGCCTTCCGCGCAATTGGTCAGCACACCACTTTTGGCTCGATCTGAACCTCCGTATTGGCGTTGGGTGCATACAGTGTTTGGTCCTGATTTGTTGTTGTAATTTTTTCTCGCACGTGAGTCTGAATTCCTCAATTTCAATACAATACCGATAAGTTAAAGCCCCCTTGTGGGGGCTGTCGTGGCCCAGTGGTCGAGGCGCCAGGTGTCCACTGCGAAGGTTTGGGTTCGAACCCCGCGGGCGGCACTTTAGGTATGCATGCTGTTTCGTGCATAGTCCTCGGCCACAGTTTGAGTAAGGATTTCGGTTTGGTTTGCCTGCTCAAGCCACCCATCGGTCGATTGGGTCCAAGCCGTCCAGGGTGGATCCCGCCCAATCGAGTTGTCCAAGAATCGAACCCAAGCCGCCGGATCCGCGTGTTCCAAGGAGAAGGTGGTTGACATGTGTTGGACTGGTGCCAAGCCTATCAAGTTCAAGTAAGTCCAGCTGCCATTTCGTGTGTATGCGTTCAACTCTGGCTTGTGTGTGTGGATATTGTCCCTGGTCTGTATGTTGGGGGTTGGTCGAAATGACGCCAGCGGCTCCCCTCATGCTTGTGTTAAGTCACTACAATACATTACCTGAAAAGTTAAAGCCCCCTCGGGTTGACGAAGGGACAGCCAATAGTGACAATATCGCTACGAAACCCTGCGCAATCGAATCAGCGCCTCAACTTACCTACCCTGTCAAAATATCAAGTCAAACGGACGATTTTTGGCCATGACCGACCCGTCCGCCACCCAAACAATGGGTGATCCGCCTCGCCCCCCGCCTGATCAACAGGCCAACACCGCCGATTTTGTCACTGCCCCCGCCCGCTCCGCCGCCCCCCGCCCCACTCCCCTCCGCTTTGCCGCTCCGGCCGACGACAACGACAAGATGGACGAAGACGTCCCGACTCCGACCCGCCCTACCGCTAACCAACGTTTCTTTGCTTCCTGCCTCCTGGCCAACATGCCTGGTACGTCCCGCACCGAAAAGCTGAACACCGCTCGCTTCCAGTACCATACTGGGGCTTTCGAAAAGTCCGCTCGTAACTTTAGCATCCCTCGGGTTTTTGCTGAGGGGGTACGTCAACCGGATCTCGAATCCATTGTGATCGAGTTTTACACTGGTGAGGGCCGTGACGACGCGGTCCAACATGCCCGCCCGCTTCATGGATCCGAGGGTGTCACCACCATCCTCGAAATGTACACCCCGCCTACTGCTGCCCCGATCACCCAGGTCTCGGCTATTTACTTGTACGACGCCCCTGCTGGCATCGTTCCGGCTGCCATTGCTGCTCGCTTGGCGGAGAAGCTCCCGCCCACTGCTCGCGTCAAGGTGTTCGCACCAGACGTCTACGACCGCTTCTACGGGGTGTGGAGGGCCGAGATCGTCTCGCCTGACCACGCCGCAATCTCGTCTCGCTTGCTTTGCCTTGGCGGCATCACTGTCGCCGACCACCTGCTCCAGATCGCGGGCACGTTCCACGCCGCCCGCAACTGCCGCCGCACAGACCGCGACACCATGCTCCACCTGTACGGTATCCCTGCCGGTGCCACTGCCATTCTGATTGGCAAGGCGCTTCAGAATGCTGGTCTCTCTGCGTCCGCCTGGCGCATTGAGTTGAACAAGGATGGCAAGAAATTGTCACGTGCGGTGGTCGTTGTTCCGTCTGCTGACGCTGCCGAGGCAGCCACGCATGTCAAGGTTAGGTACACTTGGCATGACCTCGATGTCGCGCTTGTGTGGGCTCCGGCCAGCACCCCTCTGTGTTTCGCCTGCCACAAGAGTGGCCATGCCGCCGCAACCTGCCCCCGCAGCCGCTCACTCCGTGCAGCTCAACAGTCCCGCAAGGCAATCCGCGATGCTCTCTCCTCTGCTCCCGCCCACACCTCAATCATTCCCATCCGCTCCCTTGCCCCCTCTCTTGTCCGCCCTGGCATGTCCTTCTGTGATGCTGCCTCCGCCTCTAACCCCGACTTCCCTGCCCTCGACTCTGCCCGTCCTGCTCCTGCCAAATCCTCACTTTCAGCGCCGCAAAACACCACTCCCACCTCGCAAGAAATCCTTCTCCTCCACCAAAAGATTGATGACATCAGCTCCGAGGTGACCACGCTCAAATCTCGCCCTGGCTCAGGCACCACGGCCACGGCCGCGCCTGCTCAGGCTGCTCTCACGCTCTCTGATGTCAAAGACCTTCTCACTGACACTCTGAAACCGGTTCTCCAGGACCTCGCGCGCTTCCAAAAGCAGCAGTTCAAGCTGATCGAGGCAGTGACTGCACTGCAAAACGAGCGGGCTCGGTTCAACCAGATGCTCGTTTCCGCGGCACAAGAAGAAACTGTCGCACTTGCCCCCAACACCCGCGGAGCGGTGAAGCGCGCAAAGCTCAACGACACGGAGGCGTCCTCCTCGTCCGCCACGTCAAGGGCTCCTCCGCTGTCCCAAAACCAACTGGCGGCAGTTGCACAGCTCACGGCATCCACGACCATGGAACACCAAGTTCGATTCTTGGAATTCATGCAGGCAAGCATCCAAACAAGCCTGCAAAAGACCATGCACTTCTTTGCCAGCAGCCTTGCCCAGCACATGGGCCGCGAGCTCCCAGTCCCTATCATCGAGCTGACGGCACCCGACTTTGACCCTCATCTTGTGGTTGACGCAGCTAGCGGGCCTGCCAATCACGAAGTCCCCGTCCTCCCCAACTACCAACAATGAGTAACGACCGACAACCACCACCACCCATACCCCCGATACCCAATCCTTCACCTTCCTTCCGCATCAATCTCGCCGTCGCCAACTGCAGGGGTGTACAGAGTGCTGCTGCAAGCGGCAAACTGTTCTCGCTCCTGGATTGGATGCGCGGCGGGCTCGATGTGGACATTTCCTTCCTCAACGAAACCAAAGCCTCCCAAACCTCACTCAAGCGTGCTACCCAGTACACTGACCTACCTTTTACCTTCTTCTCTACTGTTGATACCCTACACCCAATGGGCAGCGGCGCCGCCATCACGGTCCGTAACTCTTTGTGTTGTTTTCTAGATCCTCCTCAATTCCTTGTAGGCTACGCCGTCCACCTTCCTTTTCGCCTCGCGACTGGCAGCCGATTGCACCTTGTATCCATTTACCTCTCGCCCGATAGCGGCCGACATGTTCCCAAGTCCTACCTCCCGACTCACCTCCAATCTCGCCTCCCTGCTTCGGTTCCGCTGACCAAGGCATTGTCCATCTTCATCTTGGACGTGTGTACTCGCGCTCGGGATGCAGGCGACCATGTCATGGTTGGCGGCGACTGGAATTGCAGTGACGGATCACCCCGTGCAGCCCTTGTCCAGAAACTCAAGACTCGTCACCACCTTGTTGATGTTGCTGAGGCATTTGGCGACATGCAACCTACCCACGACCGCAACCGACTTGACCGGATTCTGATTGATGAAGGTCTTGCTCACTACTTCAATGGGTACGCTGTCACGTGGCCCGCCGACGTGCCCGACAACCCGCTCATAGGTCTCGACCATGCCATCATCTCGGCACGCACGAGTTTGGGTACCCTTCTCGACCGCAAGCTGATTCGCAAGATGGAGTCGTGTGCAAAGGCGGCGCAGTGGCAGGTCCTGGATTTGCCCGAGTGCACGCCGAGGATGTGGGAAGCGTATCAGGGCGAGTGTGCGCGGGCAGTGACCGAGGCAGACGTGCTCGACATTATTGCGCGAGGTACGCCAGAGTCGCTGGACGCAGCCCAGGTTGCTTGGCACAAGGTGTTGATTGACTCGGCCAAGGCCAAGCTCAAGCACCGCAAGGCTGGCGGCAAGACCCCGTTCACGGAGCCACGCCACAACGCACCCAAGTCGCCTGAGGGTTACCATATCCTCAAGCTCGACCAATGGCGAAAGCAAGGGTACAAGCTGCCTGGTCCGCAAGGTACGTTTTCCCGTCTCGCTGAGCTTGGCATTGACCCGCCCGGCCCGACCAAATCAGCGTGCGCAAAGTACTATGTGCATGCTCGGCAAGCCCTGTCCACCATCATTCTGGTCCGCGACCAAGCACAGCTCTCGGAAAGGATCGCCGCGGCCGTCAAAAGCCGTTTCGAGGCTGCTCCGCATGCAATTGCCGATCTCGTTCGCCGGGTCTTTGACCGCACCCGACCCGTGTCGGCCGTTGACTCGGTCCGGGATGGCGACCGCCTGTCGTTCGACCCGGACGACATCATCACCCAGATTGCCGTGCTCATGTCTGTCAGCTTCAAGGGTGAAGTGTTTGATCCCGAGGGGTTTGATGCCTACTGGTAGAGTGCTCGCTTTGCATGCGAGAAGCCGCGGGTTCGAACCCCGCAAGCTCCATTTTTTTTCTGATCAATTTTTTTTTTTTTTTTTTTTTTTTTTTTCGTCTCAGCTTTCCCTTGCAAATCGAGTCTGTGCCAAGTCGCGTGTTCGGGAGACATGAAAAGTAAAAAATCATTTTTTACGTGTCACCCCCATTTTTATCGTCTCCCTGGGAGACGATGAAAATGCGCGATGTGTCTCCTGACCGCGACATGAAAAAACCTGAGGAGACAAAAACAATCGAGCCCCCACTTCCTCGCTCTCTACTCATCCACATATACGTGTGCACTCAACTATTCGTCCAGTCCATCATCCCCGCCACACAACGACGCTTCCATCGCAACACCACCGCAACATGGCTAAGGAAAACACCAGACCGAAGTAGTCGCAACTCACAAGACGCCCAAAACCACCCACCCCGGCAAGCAAAACTCCGGCCAAGGCTCCACGGCTGGGGGCGAGGGCTCTACTGCCCGCTGCAAGGGCTCCAAGTCTGGCGGCCAGGGTTCCACGGCTCGCGGCAACGCATGCAAGGCCAGCATCGACTCTCAACGTGCCCCATCGCAAACCTCGGCTGGCCACACCACGCCTGCCCCCGCTCGAGACGACGCTGGCAACGACCGCAATAGCGACGCAGATCCCAGCCATGACGACGACGGCATCGATGTGGACCACGGCTGCGACGACGACGGCGGCGACACTCAGACGCCGCCGAAGACCCGCAAACGCGGCCGCCTTTTATTGCAATTATTGACCGTAACGAGACCAATACACATTTCCCTGCGCTCATTCATGAACGGAAAAGATGTCGCCGACTGGAATCTCCGCAAACGACGCGATGTACTCTTCCACACAAGGCGGCGCACAACGAAACGACTCGCTGATGATGTTGCCACCAGACATGCATGTGTGAACGTTCGTCAAGAACACAGCCACCCGATAAATCTTGCCAACAGGACATTGCATAATCTGCATCTTGTCCTTGCAGGTAATGCGCTGCCACTTTCGACTGACACAACCATAGAACCACTCGACTGCAACACGCGCGCCGGAGTTGGACTTATCCAGAGTATCAGCCTTCTTCTTGACCATCTCATCCAGCACGCCCGAGCACCGCTTCTCCACCTCGGTAGATGCGGGAAATCTCTGTGCGATCGATCCTAAAGAAGAAAGACAGGGCGTTTTGAGATTCAGAGTGAGCCATGTAGCGGAGGAAGACAGCGAGGGCCAGGCGGGAATCCACTCGCTTGCCGTTGTCAAGCTTGAGCGCGGAAGGGAGTCCAAAGAGGTCGGGGAGCCGGGTAAACGACACTGCGTCAAACCGGAAGTCATGCGTGAAAGTGCCGGGGAAGTGTTGAAGATAGTCGTCGATGTCGAACGATCCCTTGATGAAGCCATAAGGGGCGTGAAGGTCGGGGGTGATGGTCAGGTGGAAGGCGGTGGCAATGTTGGTAATCTGGGCCACAGCAGCGGCGATAATTTCATCGTCAGAGTCGTCGCTCATGTTTGCATCGAGTGGTTGTACTGCTTGGGACAGTGCTGGAGACGTTTGACCCGGCTGTGTGTTGTGTACTGACGGTGGAGAGGTCGTCGCCACTTTGCTCATCATTTTTTGTGTGTGCACAGTTGTTCGCACAGACTCGCCCCGGAGACACATAAAATGCATATTTTTGTTCACCATTTTTCATGTCGCCCACGCGTTTCGCACAGACTCTAATAAATCCCTTGCTGAGCAAAGAAACGAACAGTTAGGCGTTAAAAATGAACTCAAATTTCATCTTTGATCCTGAATAGAAATAGAATTGTATGGGTAGATTGCATTTGAAGAGTTAACAAGCCACAGTGTCAAACAGCATGTCCATTTCACCTTTGTGGAGGTCATCGGCGTGAGCGAGAAATTGCTTGTGTGGGATGTGACCCTGTGCCTTGTTTGACGGTGAGTTCTTGCTCAATGTCTGAGTCATCTGAATCCATGTCACTTGGAGCATTGGCATGGCATTCTTCGAAGAAGGATTGGGCAAGAGAAAAGGCTGTGTGCAAAAAGAATGAAAGTCGCGCAAGTCAATGTCAAGTGCAAAAAGGGTAATAGGCAAAGGGTGAACGAAAAGGGCATACCAGCACGCTTCATGTGCTTTGGGTTCGCTTGCTCCTCTGGGGCTGCTTGTGCATGAGCTTGAGCCAGCCACTTTGCACTTGTGCGACTATAAAAGTCCTTGAGCGTTTCTTTGCGCAAAGGCATAGGCTATGATAGCAACAAAACATGTTCAAGTGGTCAATGGGGGAATCTGAACACTGCAAAGAAGCTACATACCTGCGAGGAATCACCATCCTCGTTCTGGCCTGTAACAATGGGCGAGTCAACATGGACTGCTTCAGGGGCAATTTGGGAAGCTTGAGCCGCTGCATCAATCACACTATCGACAGCGCAATTGCCTACGGCACCACCATTCTTTTCACTTTGGTCATCATCGTCATCACCAAAGTCAGAATCACAATCGGAATCACCATATGCACCATCGTCATCCTCGTCACTATCCCCATCGGACAAATCGTTGTCACTGTCATCATCGTCCTCGTCATCAGACAACCACTCGACCTGCCCCAAGTCAAGCAAGCATTTCCATTCGTCCAACTTGTCCAGCCGCAGCACCCACAAATCGCCCAGAGTGTGCTCGTTTGCCTCGTGGATGCAAACGCCACCATACATGTACAAAGCGTTTTTGGCTACAGCCAAGCAAGTACTGAACCGAGGACAAGGTTGGGGAACACTTGGCGCTTCATCCGAATTAGACGACAATCCGGGGGTCTTTTTCCGACGAAGGGCCATGGCGTAAAACTTCTTTTGATCCATGTTGAACATGAACAAGTCATTCTTTGCGACACTCTTGAGATCATCTTCAATCTCAATGTCCTCAACGCCACCAAAGAAAATGGAACGGTCCTTGTGCACAATGGCCGATATCCCTGCACGGGCGCTGTGATTGTGGCAAGATAGACAGTCAATGCAAAGGATTCTCAGTTGATGATTCAATTGAATACGAAATGGGATACCTTGGTGGCACCCCGGCCTTCTTGACTTTTGACCACACAATCTGCTTTTGGTCAAGGTCAACGTTGAGCGACAGGAACCAGCAATCAGTGTGAATGGTTCCCTTGGCCTTTTGTCCCTTCGTGAAGATCTTGCTGTATCCACCATAGAGGTAAACACCAGTTGCGGACGTGAAAAGCTGGAACCGGAGCGAGCGCTTGGGCGCGAGGTGAGAAGATTGGGCTCAATGCGGTGCCAGCGCATGGACTTCGTGTCAAAAATCCAAGTGTCGTCGTAGTACTGAGGACAGAAGCAACAGTGGATGCGAAGAGGAGCACAAGCTGTGAGTGCGAGTCGACTGAAAAGGTACCACAGTGATTGAGAGCTGAGCCATCACCCGAACCTTTGTCGATGCGCCGGCATCGTAAAAGCCGCCAAACAAGACAATAAAGTGCTTCCATGCTGTCATGCGGTGTCCACTCCGAGGTTGGGAAGTTGTTTTACCTGGGCGGTAAGATCTTCCCATGACCTGTCCTTGACATTGAACCGCCAAAAGTCGCGCCAGTGCAAAAATCGAGTTTCAGAACGGTTCTGAACACAAAGTGAATGGCGAGAGGTTAGGTAAAGCAATTGAAAGATAACGCAGTGATGAGGAAACCTTGCATGAAACGTACGGCAAATTCGCCGCCAAAGAAGTAAATGTAGCCATTGGGCATGGCCACCGCTTGATGGGATGAGCGAGGCCCAGGTGATGTCGGTGACGTGACGAGGGTCCAATCTTCCGACTCGGTATTGAAGACGTACAACTCGTTGTAAAACTAGTCAACAGGCACGGTAATGAATATCGGATTCACGTTGCCGTGGAAAACAAAAATGGGAATGGGCTGGCCCATGACAAACCTCGACGACTTGCCCGTTGAATGCCTCTCCACCAAAGAAAATAAGCTCGCTTGCGTTGAGGGGATTGGTGGTAAGAGTTGCGTTGGTACGGGGAGAGGGTGGAGATGATTCTACTTGTGTGACGGCCTTCTCTTCTGCCTGCTTGGCCTTGAATTGGGCGAGAATAAGATCAATATCATCGTCGCTGTCATCTGCAAATCCACCTTGCCCACGGCGCTTTCGCTCTTGCTTTTGGGCCTTGCGGTCGAGCTATGTGTGATTTCGGAAACACCGGTTATTGACTGAAACGTGGACTGATGTGTCGTACTCGTGCTCCAGGTTATTCGACTGCGCACTTTTTCGGCCAAACGCTGCTTATGCTCAGCAGATTTCTTCTTCTTCTTGTCTTTGCCCATAGTGACTCAGTTACATGGCGGATGTCAGGTATGACAGATGAATCATGCGCTATTCTCATCAGTCCATCTGTCTCACGCTGATACCTACCTACCAGTGTAAATACAGCCCATGTGTGCGACACGTGATCCATCACCAAGACAACGGATCGCCGCTTCGTCTTCGTGGAAGCATACCGGCGCAAATACCGGCGCAGAAAACGGCGAAAAATGGGCAGGGATACATGAATCGATTTCCATTGAGAAAAGGAGACGTAAGCGGTAACATGCGAATATCGACAGTGTAAACAAAAGTGCCGTTGACTGTGATGGAGAGTGTTGTTTCCATCACTTGATGGACTTGCGGGGGGAGGGCAGGTAGCCTTTCGAAAAACTCGGGCACAAATGTGACGAAAATGTCTTGAGAATACGCCGGAGGCAAGAACCCAAAGGATGGAACGACTGACAAGCGGTGTGCTGGCCATGCCACTTCAAACCATACACCAGTGTTTTGGTCACCGTTCACACTTGTTGGAAACACATTTGTCACCGTAAGTGTTGCTTGATACTCGAGAGACAAGACCATGTTGAGTTGATGGGAGCTTAGTGCAATGAGCGGTGCAGCGTCGTTTTCAATATCCATTCGATCATGATGGCCGACGACGGCGCTGGCCCCTGTCGACGGCACCCAATGTGGCACGGCGCGCGAATCGTGGGAA